GCCCGGCGTGGGCGGCCTCGGAGACGACGAGGAACCTCTTGTGGGGGTTACGTTCCCTCAGGCTGCTCGTCGTTTCTGCTGTTGCCGCAGAAGGCAGCCTTCCTGTCTTCAGAGCCGTTCTCTTGAGGTTTTCTTCCTTATTCTGCTCGATGTGGTCTTGTCGTAATAAACCGTTTGGCGGGAAGAACGAATGGGATTGCTCCTTGCAAAAACGCGTTGGCTGTTGTGGGAGCAGTGTGTCTCCCCTTGAATCAAAAGGCACTGGCTGTAATCTGGTTGTTTGCCATCATAAAAGTTGCGGGTAAGTCCTTTTGTTCAATGAGACTTCTAATCGGTAGGAGAATAGCAAGTAAGAATTCCTCTAGCTTGGTGAAGAGACGGTGCTTGTTTGTTTGAAATAACTTAAAACATAGAGAGTTGTTGCTGAGAGTGACGATAATGATTTGAAATTGCACATCGCTCTAGTGCAGGGCAGAGCCTGGAAGCTGTGAAATCCCATTCAGATGTCACTAATGGAAGCTCAGCAGCAGAGTTTGGTGGCCCGGCGGGATGGAAGCCTTAAGATCACAGTGACCCTGAGTGCTCAGTACTGAGGCCCCTAGCAGATTTGAAATGGTAGCTGCAACAATGCACAACTGTATGACTAAAGCAGTATTGACACATGGGAGAGTGTCTCTTTTTCCTTTTTGTTTTTCTTTAAACATCCAAGATAAGGTTTCACCTGCAGTTGTTAATTTGGCTAACAGCCAGGGCTGTAGATAGCTTATGGTTTACTTGTTCTTGAATGCTTCTTAACTTGCCTATGGAAGGCCAGTAACCTCGGCCAGTAAGAGAGGCTTTTGTATGACTTTCTTTACCAAGAAGTTTTCTGTTTTAAAAAAAAAGATTTCTGTACAGAAAAATGCATCCCTGCTTTTGAGTTGTGGGAGGGAAAGTAAGAAGAATGCCAAACAGATTACAGATGGTATTGGTAACTCTGGCTGGATAACTATAGAATATACATGCAGTGCTGTAATGCTGTATTTAAAACCACTGTGTTTTAAATAAAACGTATGATACTTTGTTTTCCCCATCCAGATTACAGGGCCTGATAATAAAGGAATTTATAAAGGCGATCGAGAGTCCAGTGGAAAATACACGTTTGCCGCCCACATGGATGGAACTTACAAGTTTTGCTTTAGCAACAGAATGTCCACCATGACTCCCAAGATAGTGATGTTCACTATTGATATTGGAGAAGCTCCAAAGGGGCAAGACATGGAGACAGAAGGTGAGGAAGACTCCTGGAAAGAAATTAGCTCCATCTCGGGAGCTTTTTAAAATGCATGACTACTGAACTTGACTAGGATTCTCAGAATTCCTGTTTCTTCAGGCTATCTAGTTAGCTGTTCTCTTGCACAGCTAAAATGGATATGGATGTTTTTAGACCTCATTACATGACTTAATGCAGAATCACCAGGGAATCACTTGGCCATCTGCAGAAACTAATGCTTTCATCCTGTAGTCTTTTCATCAGTTTCATTCTCTGATTTCTAGTTTGCTCAGCAGTATGTAGACTACTACATGGGTTAGTTGAGCTCTTTGGTAAATGTGCTAATATAAAAATTTTCTCGTAGCCGTGTAAATTACTGTTTTATCTGCAGCCTTTTGTCCTGTACCTGTGTTCATCTCTTACACTTTTCTCTAGGTGGTGGAGATACCTGGGATGGTATGTGTACTGCTTTTTGAAAGCTCATTAGCATCTTGTCTTTTGCGTATGTTTATTCACTAACAGCTAACGTTTGCTTTTTCTCTGTAACATTTGTTTGTAGCATGAGAATGTCTTTTTTTAATAAACTACATAAAAGGTCTGATTCTGAGCAATGCTGAGCACCTGCAAGCTTTCATCAAGAAGTTTATATACTTAGCAGCTCTTGGGATCGGGTCCTTGAACTGTCCGTGACAGTTTGTCTTCAGGTGGTTTTTTTATGGCTGACAGAAGACTTAATTGGGAGTTTTAGGTGAAATTAAACTAAAACACTGAACATCCAAGAATATTGGATATTTTAGACGGTGTTTGCTTTTTGTTGCTAAAGTGGGTGTTGAGTAATCAAGGGCTTTTGGAAGCAATAAGCTTCTTTTAGGTTATTAATTCTCAGTAATGTTACAAGGGGAAAAACTTCAAACTTGTCATTTGCTGTGAAAGAAATAAATGGAAGTAGGGGGTAACAAGTTACAAAGTTTTATTTAGAGATCACTAACTGTAGCTAGAAAGGGAATAAATTCTTGTTTTCTATTTTAGCAAGTAAGTAACTGTGTGCATTGAGTGCTTGTTATCGCTTGAAAAGTAACAAATTCCTAACTTTTGATTTTTTGTTTTAAAAGTCTCAGTTAAATCTTTTACTGAGTCTGAATATAACTGTTGTAAAGGATATTAGTGCAGCTTTAAATTTTTAAGGCAAACACTTTCTTGAGTGTATTTTTTTTGAGTGGGTTTAAACAATCCCTGCAACTGTAATTTCTTCTCTTACTGATAAACTGCATTTATTGCGATGGCCAGTTAGCCATGAAAATAAGGGATTTGCGACATTAGCAAAGTGAGTGTGGTTTACACAACTATTTAAAATTTTAATTATAACTTGTATGAGTGTTATTCCCTGGACCTCTTTTTGATTGTTCCCCGTAAGGTGTGTATTTTGAAGTTTTTTTTCAGATTGTGATCTGAAACACTTAATTTATAAATAAAAAGGTAATAAGGTAGCTTCAAAGTCAAGTATGTCCCTTCAATGGAAAATATGTTGGGTTTTGTGACTTTTTTGAGAGATCTGATTGCCCAGGGTGTGTCTGTGGAATGATATCTTGAACTTCTTTTGATGCTAGAAACTGAAAATTACTTGCATAATTTATAGATTTGTAAGTAGACAGTTCTTTGAGCATGAATGTATTTAAAAGATCCTGCGATTGACAATCAAGTCACTAAATCTTGGATCTCTGATCCTTCTGTTTGCTGAACTACCTCAAGCTAGTTTTCTGTTATCATTGGTTTGGTATTTTCCTCCTCTTCTGCTTTCACAACGTACGAGAACCTGAAACCAGTTCCTGCCCTCTGCCAGGCCCCTTTGGCATTGTTTCTGCTGAGTGCCGTGCTTCAGCTAAACCAGAAGATCACAAGATGTGATATGTTGCTTCAGAAAGTGATCTCGTTTTGCCAGCATCATGATCTTAAGCTAAATTCTTAGTCGTTCTATTTTTGCAAGCTTAACAACTAGGAAAAGCTGTAATGTTAAGATAATTTGCTTGGAATATATTGGACGATATTGGCAAAATAGTTAGTAGTGTGTGGTATTGATCTCGTATTCTCACATTCTGTTTTTCTGGAAAAGTATGCCTGTTTTGGAAATAAGTGGTCTGTACTGACTCTAAATTGCGTGTCTGCTGCCTTCTAGTTGGATGTGGAGAAAGATGTTTTCCCACTTACTAAATACCATAGAGATGCGTTAGGACAAGTGGCACTATGAAACCTAAACTTTACTTTGCTGTAAGGATAGAAAGTTTTCAGCTGTACAGACTGCATTTTTCAGAACTTCTTCTGCAACAGGATACTAAGTATGACTGTTCATAAATTGTAACAGATTGTTTTCTGAGTCAGTAACAGACTTTCTGATGCTTCTGAAATTATTCCGCAGCTCATCAGAACAAGCTAGAAGAGATGATTAATGAGTTAGCAGTGGCCATGACAGCTGTAAAGCATGAACAGGAGTACATGGAAGTTCGTGAAAGAATACATAGAGCAAGTATGTGTCTTTGACTTAAATACCTTCTCCCCTGTCAAATGAAGTTACAAAATGTAATTTAAAATGCAAGTCCATGAAAGCTATTCCAAGTTACTAAAAAAAAAAGAACAAGTTCTGAAGGACCTGCCCATACACTAACATCGTTGATGCCTTGCAATCTTCTTTAAATTGGCTCGCCTCTCATGTAATGAAGATTGCTTTTGCTTAGTTGGTATAAATTCTATAGTTCTTTGAATGGCGTATTCATGAAGATATTGGTAATGATATAGTTCCCAGGGATATACTTTGGTTGAATTATTATTTCATCCTTGAAGTAGGTGTGGCTTAATAATTCAGCCAAAGTCTTTTTAAAATATTTCGTTGAAATAGAGCAGAACTGCTGTTATTTTCAAGTAGAGAATATAGTTAACTCTCCAGTTGCAACCCTCACTTTCCGAAATACAGCTTTAAAATGTGACTGAGTGTGCCAAGTGGTGCGCTAGGGGAAGCCCAGTGAGAATAAAGGGCAAATATTTTTAACGTGAAAATACAACATTATATTAAAGCACTGGCCCCTCAACTTTTTGAACCTATGAATATCCCGTTTTATGACTTCTGTTACTAATTTAAGAAAATGCTGAATTTGTAGAAACAAGGATATGATGAACCCTTAGACATTAGAAATCCCTCGCTTGCCTTTGAGACCCTAATATGCAATAGTTACTTGAAAAAGCAAGTGGCTTCTGTTTGGCAGTAACAAGCTTCTGTCTGGCCTCTTTGAAGGTGGGCAGAATAGAGAAGGATGCTGCAGTGTATGTCCAAAGTTCAGGTTAAAACGTCTGCTTGCATAGCAAGCTGTTTGGAAAAATACCCCCCCTTCACTCTCAGATCGCGTCTCTAAGACTGCAGAGTCCTTCTGGGACTCTTGTAATGACATGATACAAATATCAGTGCCTTATGTGCAGTACGAATGCTTCAGTTCCAATGACAAAGTGTGTTTTAAGTTTGTTCTAAATGCTTTGTTACTTACTACTTTTTTTTTTTTTTTCCCCCCAACAGTTAATGACAACACAAACAGCAGAGTGGTTCTTTGGTCATTCTTTGAAGCTCTTGTATTAGTTGCCATGACACTGGGACAAATCTACTATCTGAAGAGGTTTTTTGAAGTCCGAAGGGTTGTTTAAGAGTACTTTTCTGGTCCCGGATTTCAGTTCACTGTCTACCAAACATCCTGGTCACAAAAAAGTCACTTAGTTTCTGAACCCTCTCTACTGAACTGTCAAACTTACTGCTTATGTTCCTTCCTAGTTAAAAATGAATTGTTTTTATATATCTTCTGTAGCAAAAGCTGTGCTGAAATCTTGTCACTTAATTGGCATAATTTTTTTCACTTAAATCTGCCTAGTCTGTATGCTAAGCGAGGTCCAAGCAAGCTGCAAACGCTGTAATTCAACTGTAGTAACAAGCGATGTTAATGTCTCTTCTAACTTTTTTCCCCCCCCCCCGTTCTCGTACTTACAGTTCTATCTAGGGAAACGGTACAAGGCCCTAACATGACGGTTTGCGTTTTTGACATCTTTAACCCTGCAGTAGGTGTTAATGAAATGGAAATAATCCCTTCTTTGCTTACATAAACTGCCATGGAGAAGTGGAACTTTATTCTGATAACAAATAAAAAACAGCTGGCAACTTCCAATCTAGTATTCATACCTAGTTGCTATTTAAAAGAAAGTCTTCAGTAACTATCCTAATTAAGTCAACTTATTCCCAAAGTTCTTTTGAATTCAATAGTTGATATGAAAGTACATTTTTCTCCTCTCATCACCAAATGTTCTCATACAGTTTTTAGTCTTTCACAGGTTTTATATCGAAGCCAATTGTGTGCAGTGTCTTGGCAAACAACAGTTAACCCTTTGGTTTTTGCAGGTCCAAAGCTCAGACTGTTGGCGCTATTGCAGAATGCATTAGTGTTCAGGAAACCTGGATTCCTGATGCCAAAGGGTTAACGATTCTGGGGGTATATTGCAATGCTATGCAGCCCTTGTATTTAAGTTAAGTGGCAGTCTCTGCCATTATCTGATCATAATTAGCATAATGCTAAATACCGGTGTGTTTTCTTTTTCAGGCACATGTAGATTTGTTTTTGTATAAAGTTACTTTCCTCGGTATCTGATGATTGGTTTAAAAATTAAAGAAGCGTCTGATGTGGGTGCTGAGCCAGGATTATGTTGTGACTGATGTATATTAGTTGTAATCATTTTTGGGGGTGGGGTGGGGTCTTTTCCAGGGGGAGCCTCTACAAGTAACACACAACAGTTTTGTACAATTAATTTAAAATTTGTTACAGGTTTTCATGTTCCAGGTAAAGTTTTTTCAACCTTGGGCAAACACGTGCAGCAGTTCTTCAGAAAGGTGGCTGTTACACCTTATTGTGACTGTTGTGTGCCAATATTTTTGTGTAAAACACTTAAAATTGAATTCTAAGATGTACATTTAAAAATTGCTTGTGAATCTAAATATGACCCAGGTTCGATAAATAAACAAATTCTTTAAAAAAAAAAAAAAAAGGAGTTTTTCTTTAAACTGTACTTCCTTAAAGCATTAACACTCAAAGGTTTTTCATGAAGTAACTTAGAATAGTGGGAATCCATCCAAAAGCCATCCCGCTTTGTGGACAGGTGGAAGAAATTCCAGGTAATTCTAAAGCTACAGCTTTGCTGCTCAACTCGAGGCAGTTGGATGCCACTGTGCTTCTGTGTGACCCGCGGAAGTACTTACCGCCATAGGCCGCTTGCTGTAGCCCAGGGGAGATTCTCACAGAGGCGGCAAAACCCCGCAGGGTCCGGCCGGAGGAGGCGGTGGCAGCGGCCGGCGGTGTCTGGGCCGGAACCAAGGTGCTGCGACGCCTGTTTCCGCGGGGCCCT